TCTCCTGCATATAGATATCCAGTTATCCCAGCACCATTTGCTGAAGAGGCAGTCCCTTCCCCAGTGATTAGGCTTGGTGCCTTTGTCAAAGATCAGATGGCAGTAAGTGTGTGGGTTGATTTCTGGATTCTCTGTTCTATTCCATTGATCTGTGTGTCTGTTTTTATGCCAGTACCATGCTGTTTTGGTTATTATAGCTTTGTAGTATAGCTTTAAGTCGGGAGTGTTATGCTTCCAGTTTTATTTTATTTTTGCTCAGCATTGCTTTGGCTATGTGTGGTCTTTTGTTATTCCATTTAAATGTCTGGATAGTTCTTTCCATTTCTGAGAAAAATGTCTTTGGAATTTTGATGGGGATTGCATTGAATTTTTATATCACTTTGGGTAGTATGGACATTTTCACTATGTTGATTCTTCCAATCCAAAAGCATGGGATATCTTTCTATCTTCTTGTATCCTCTCTAATTTCTCTCAGCAGTGGTTTGTAGTTCTCATTATAGAGATTTTTCACATCCTTGGTTAACTCAATTCCTAAATATTTTATTTTTTTGGTGGCTATTGTAAATGGGCAGGGTTTCTTGATTTCTCGTTCTGCCAGTTCACTATTGGAGAAAAGAAATGCTACTGATTTTTGTGTGTTGATTTTGTATCCTGCTACTGTGCTGAAATCATTTATCAATTCCAAGAGTTTTTTTGTAGAGCAAACCTCTCATGAGTTTGAGGATGTAAATCTAAGTCTGGCGTGGCAGGCTTTTATGATGATATATTTGTCAAAGCAGGAGTACAGAATATCTTTTACATAAAAGTTTGCTTTCTTGATTTACAACATTGAAATCTTTAATATTAAATCTTTATGTGGTGGGTGGGCCTCCATTTGTACTTTTGCCCCAAGCCTCGCAAGGTAGGGCAAAGGCCTGGACCTATGTTAATTGCATGTGGATGAGATTTTTCATTTGTTAAGTAAAGGACAGATTTCAAAGAAATTTGTTCAGGAGCAATAAGTGAAGTTTCCTAGCTGATATGTTCCTGTCTGGACTTTGACTAGTATTAACTGCGGAGCTTGCTCCCTAGGAAAATTACTGACAGCCGCACAGTTGTAGTGCTTGCTTTCTTTATTATTCAAGAGAACAAACAATTTCTTCTTAGATGAATAGTATATGTATTTAGACAAGGCACAGTCTGTTCCACTATATACATTTTTTTAAAGTTAAAAAATGGTTTATAAGTGTTTGCTAATGCATACATATACATGGTACTGACATTAAAAACATTTAGCAAATGTGATTTGGGGTGCAAATAATTATGTCAGATATATACTTTTGTTGGACCTTTAATTCAAATTTGATTCATATTTTAGTTGGAGTATTTTATGATTCAAGCCTTAAATCAGAAGACAAGTGAAAAAATGAAGAAAAGAAAAATGAGCAACTCGTTTCATGGAATAAGACCACCTCAGCTTGAACAACCAGGTGCCTTTATTAGCCAACGTCTACACATTCAATAAATGGACCATAAATGATACACACTTGACTTTAAAATTCCTGGTGTGCAAAGTTAAAGGGAGGACATGGTCTGTATGCAGCAAACCCAGGGTCTTAAGTACTTTCTGGATCAGAAGATGGGTGGGAAATGACCAAATAAATAATGTAGATAGCTACCTAGTTCTTAGTTCTTATTGATAAAGAAGAGAAAACATAGCAGTTCCTTAGAGAAAGCAAAACATTTCATGCCATTTAGCACTAAAAGAAATTTCAGGTGTGGGCACTAGATGAGTGTACAGGGCCTTCAAAATGTCCCTTCAGCAAATGCAATCTCAGCTTTCACAAGGCTATTTCTTGTACCCTTCTGCTAAGAGAGATGTGGGTCTAACTCTAGACCTAACCCAGGGGTCCAGGAAGTCACAGTTGGGACACACATTTGTTCCGGAGCTGACTTGCCCTAAGGAAAGATCCTGGGCTCTGGGGCACATGGTTTTCAGAGGGTTCTTATCATTTAAGGTTCTGAGAAGGTGCCCCAGGCAGTGGGAAGGAGGATGGACTGGGGTAGAGTGTAAGGAGAGCCTGGCCCCAGCACTTTATTATCTGTTTTGTAGATTTAAAACAGGGGTTTTCTTTAGAATAAAATATTTTCATTGCTAAAGAAGTTTGAATTCCACTGATTTAGGGGATTGCATATCTTTCAAGCAATGCTTCACAAATATCCCTTTCCTCAGCTAGGCTTTGGATAAAAATGAGATGGCATTTTTAGGTAAAGTCAGCGATGAAGACCTGGAGTGTGGGTATTCTGAATCGCCTGAGGGCTAATCTCTCTTTGCTGGTAGTCAAACTAGTAAATGGAAGGTTATATCTTCTTTTAGAAATTAGGGAGCTCAGTCAACACTTTTAGGGAGGTGCACTGAGTGGAAAGAGCTTGTTCTAGGAAGCAATTTGTTTTACCAGGAGGAAAAAATACTAATTTTAGGATCAAAATAAGATGCTTAAGATGTTTTCAAACAATAGAGTTCCAGACTCTGAGCCCTAACTTTGAGAAATTGCAGAATTTCAGCAGCTTTGCCTTCCACCTCCCCTTCTGTTTCCAGGAGGGGAAGGACTTCAGATGTGAGATTGGGTTCTTCAAAACTTATTCAATACTTCAAATTTTTTATCAGGTAGAAGTAAAGAATGATAACAATGATAATTGAAATACTGAAGTTCAAAATTTGGAGGAATATTTTTTTTGGAGGACATACAAATAATAGGAAATGTTATTTTATTGCTCCTATGTCATTTGCACATAAAATATAAACACAGTATTTGTGTGTGTTTGTTATAAAATTCTACAGTCCATGAATCTATAGTTTGTACAATATATGTTCACAAGTTAGGTTAAGCTATACAAAATTGCTATTTTTGTAGGTCAAAAATAATCAAATATTGCAATTTCTAATATTATTCAAAAATATGGTTTTGTTGTGTTTAAAGTAAAAATGAAATTATTGGGTCTGCAGACCTAAAGAGTAGTTTATTATTTTTTTCTTTTTTGAAACAGAAAAAATGCCTGTCTTAAAGGCCGAAGCATCACATTATAACGCTGACTTAAATAACTTGCTCTTCTGCTGCCAGTGTGTGGACGTGGTATTTTACAACCCAGATCTAAAGGAAGTGGTAGAGGCCCACAAGATCGTTCTCTGTGCTGTAAGCCATGTTTTCATGCTGCTTTTCAATGTGAAGAGTCCCAATGACATTCAGGATTCCAGTATCATCCGAACTACCCAGGATCTCTTTGCTATAAACAGAGATACTGCGTTTCCAGGTGCTAGCCAGGAATCTTCAGGCAACCCACCATTACGAGTCATTGTTAAAGACGTCCTCTTCTGTTCTTGTTTATCAGACATTCTGCGCTTCATTTATTCAGGTATCTTGTCAAATGGTTCTGATTACTTGCACTCTCTTAAGCTTTTGAAATGAAATATGCCTGTGGTCCTCAAGAGTATTGGTTAGTTTTACATTATCTTTTTATTACCATCTGAGGTGAAGATTATACATGAGATAATATTTGCTTTTTATGTAGGAATTGGGCCAAGCTTTCTATCTTCCTTATAAATTTACTTGCCTTTTTTTTTTTTCTAATTTAAAAAAAATTTTTGGTAAAATACACATAACATAAAATTTACTGTCTTAACCATTTTTAAGCATACAGTTCAGCAGCATTAAATACATTCATAATGTTGTGCAATCATCATCACCTTCTGTATCCATAACTCTTTTCATCTTGTAAAACTGAAGCTCTGTACCCATTAAACAATAACTCCCCATTTCCCCTCCAGCCCCTAGCAACCACCATTCTACTTTCTATCTTTGTGATTTTGACTACTCTAAGTGCCTCGTAGAAATACAGTATTTGTCATTCTGAGACTGGTTTATTTCACTTAGCATAATGTCTTCAAGGTTCACCCAAGTTGTGCATATGTCATAATTTCCTTCTTTTTTAAGGCTGAATATATTTCATTATATGTATATACCACATTTTGTTTATCCATTAATCTGTTGATGGACACTTGGGTTGCTTCTGCCATTTTAGCTATTGTGAATAATGCTGCCATGAACGTGGGTGTATAAATATCTCTTTCAATATTTCAGTTCTTTTTGGGATGTACTCAGAAGTGGAATTGCTGGGTCATATGATAATTCCATTTTTAATTTTTAAAGGCACCACCATACTGTTTTCCACAGCAACTGTGCTATTTCGCCTTTCTACCAACAGTGCACAAGGGTTCCAATATCTCCACATCCTCGTCAACACTTGTAATTTTCTGTTATTTTTTTTTTATAGTAGCCATCTTAATGGGTGTGAGGTGGTAACTGTCTCACCGTAATTTTGATTTGCATTTCCCCATTGATCAGTGATGTTGAGCATCTTGTCCTGTGGTTACTGTACCTGCCTTGGTTTTAAAGCTACTTGTAAAAACCGAGCAGGTATGTTAATATTTTAATTTTTAAAAAATCCAAAATATGAAATACAAGAATTTATTGTCCAGTTTAAAGAAAGAAAATTTTCCAAGGGTATATGAAATCAAGTATCTGTACCTTAAAACTTAACTATTCACTCTTTGGTTTGACTTTTAGATTTTGGAGGGAATCAAGGAGAGGAATTGCATTCAGTTTAGGAACTGGATATCAGTGTCTAAAGTTAGTTCAGGCTGAGATCTATCAACTTTGGCTATGATTGACTTAGTCTTCATTTTTTTCCCTTGCTATTCTCTTATCTTTTTGAGATTCAGTTTATCAATTATTTTCTTCTTGTCCTTTTAAAACCTCAGTAGCAACTACATTCTAAAGAATAGAATTTTTGTCTGATTCATTTTAGCAGACGAATCAAAGGTCTCACATCTAAGTGTCCCATATAAGAATAGAAAAGAATGGATGTAAAATGATTATTAAAGTAAGCATCTAAATATAAGTTTTCTGAGGACTTTAATTTTCTTTTTCTACTTGGAATCATGTACTGACGAAATATTAAAATAAGGTGACTCATTTTTTGGAATGTGCCTGGAGAAACATTTATAATCTGTTTTTGGACTTTAGAATTGGGAACAAGGTCTGGCCAATTAGCTCAGTTGGTTAGAGTAGTGTTATAACACCAAGGTCAAAGGTTCAGAAATCTCCACACTGGCAAACTGCCAAAAAAAAAGAAAGAAAGAAAGAAAAGAAAAGGAAAAAAAATGGGAACAGATAAGAAGTTTCTAAAAAGGTTTGCAAATAAAGAAAGCAAACATTATTTCATATAGGTAAGAAAAATTTGGGTAGCCTTCATTTAAATGGTTGGTTTTAAAAATAAGATTACTTTTTTCATTTGGGTTGTGGTTATATAATTTTATAAGTTAAAATTTAAATTATGGTTTTGAAAAGTAACTACAGTAGCAGCATGCAGATTTATGTGGATAATATATATATATATGAGTGGAATGTGGTGATAGGTCAGTGAATATTGGCTTGAAGAAGGCATAAATAGGCACCCTTACAGCACATACCGAGCACCTGCCCCCAACATGGCAGGCTTTCCATTAGTTTCTGTTGAATTAAGGAGTAGTCTTTAAAAGCTGGGTGTCATCAGATGAATAACCCACACTAGTTAAGGACTTCTTTTAGTACTACGTATTTTAATGTTTAAACTTAGAATCTCACAGTTTAGAATTTAGGAATAATTTTGAAAAACTAAAATGTTGGGCCGGCCCGGTGGCGCACTGCTACATTGCGCCGCTTGGGAAGCGCGGTGGCGCTCCCGCCGAGGGTTCGGATCCCACATACAGACCGGTTCCCGCTCACTGGCTGAGCGAGGTGCAGGGAGCAACACCGAGGGTTGCGATCCCGTTGCCGGTCCCGGGCCGGTGCAGGCGCGACACTGAGGGTTGCGATCCGTTGCCGGTCATGAAAAAAGAGACAAAAAGGAAAAAAAAAAAAAAAGAAAAACTAAAATGTTTAAATGTTTAAAGAAAAAATATTGTTAATGACGTTTTTAAGGAACTGTGAAGGATATATTTGACTTTTCAGTGGTTTTACTACTGAAATTATATGAATTATTCAGCAAGTTTCCCACAGTCTCTATTGAATACTTTCAAAGGCACATGAACACTCTGAAGTCAGTAGCAGTAAAATAGCTATGTGTATCTCTAGTGACTGAACCTGCCTTGTTCTCTTCTAGGGAGTGGTATTTGTTTTTTTTTTTAATTGCAAAATTAATACATGCAGATGGAAAAAGAGGGAAAAGAAAAGAAAAAGTTCTCCTCTTACCCAAGACCCCTTCCCTGGAGGCAGTGACCTATTATGAGTCTTTTATGTATTCACTCTGATACTATTTAAAAGAAATTAATATACTAGGGAAATTTATGTTAATAAAAACCAGAATCCTTGGTAACTGCTGCTTTCCAGCAACCACAGATAGTTTCTGTGGCTGGAGCATAGAGTAGGAGGTGACAGCCAGTAGGAGATGTGGCTGGCAAGGCTTGTAGAAGCTGTTTTTGCTGTTCTTAGAAGCCACTCTAGAATTTCAAGCATGATCAGACTGGCCTTTAGAAAGCTCATCTCTAGTGATGGTGGGAGGATGGAAGAGAGCAGGCAGGCTCCGTCACTCTGGTGACCAACCTCATGCCAATATTCAGACAATGGGTGGTGTGGTCACTTGTCCTTAGTCATCTAGAGCAATGCTTTTCAGACCCTAAAGTACATACAGAATTCCTGGGCATCTTGTTCTGATTAAGTGTGTGCAGGGTGCACATGAAATTCTGCATTTCCTACAGTCTCCCATGTGGTGCTGATGCAGAAACACTAAAGTACATACAGAATTCCTGGGCATCTTGTTCTGATTAAGTGTGTGCAGGGTGCACATGAGATTCTGCATTTCCTACAGTCTCCCATGTGGTGCTGATGCAGAAACACCTGCTCTTGGAAGAACTGGGTACCAGCCACAGTCAGGAAACTCGGGCCTGGAATTTAGCCAAGAGGCCTGGGAGAGGTACCCTGTCATCAGTCTTAGGGCACAAAGTCAAAATGGGGTCAGCTGCAAAGCTGAGCTATTCAGAGCTGAGGCTCTCATTGCCCTGTGCATGCTTCCATGAAGTGGGGGAAAGTGGATGCTTAGCAGTTGGGTGGAAACTACGTGACCCAGGGAGTAGAGATTAGAGGTCAGAGGGGCATGGTGGCATGGAGAGCTTGCTGAGCTACAGGTTTTCAACCCAGTCAGAGTACTGGCTTCTTAACCTGAAAGCTAACTGTTGCATTTGTGCTCTGAGCTCTCTGTATGTCACCGCCAGGGCATAGGCCGTTGACCTCAGGCCACAGGGAGACCCTGATACTGGTTGAAGAGAAGGGAAAATAACTGGTTTTGTAGTACCAACTAATTATTCTTTAATTATTTACAGATTGTAACCTTTGACTCAGGCAAAAGTTAGGTTTATGTTTATAAAGACATTAAAGCTGTATTTGCCCAGTAAAGACAATTTTGAAGAAAACAGAAATTTAAGAGAAAAATAATTGCACAGGGTCCACTATCAAAAGAAAATGTCTAAACATTTATTGATATTTTATTTTACCCTCTAGTCTTTGTTTGTTTTTAAATAGTTTATTGTTTTTTAGGAAATATTTTCTATCAAAAATTCTAAACCTACATTATTTTTCTCTGAAACTTCAATAAAGGGGCCAGGCTTGTGGGGTTTTTTTGGTTTTTGTTTTTCTTTTGAACATTTTAACCTTTGAACAAAACACAAGTTTTAAGACACATTTGTGTAGTGGTTTCCTCATAGATGCCCTGTAACGTACCCATGGGTTACGTCAGGGAACGTTGAAGACAGGTGGGTGGGTCTGGAGATAGAACTCCAGGACATGGTCTGCTCTGGAACATTTGCCTTGTGCAAACAAACATAGGCTAAAACATCATAGGAAACCTGTCCCCTGTCCCTTTTTTAAATGAGCCAAATTACAAAGAATGTCTTAAGTCTTTTCAAATAACATACTTTTTTTGTACCTTTAGGAATTTGAAATTTTGATTATATTGTGTCACTATGCACATTTTGTCCTATGTTTAGGAGGGGCCTGTTTAATAGTCCAGGTAGCATTTCACACCTCTATATAAGTCTTCAGTTTATTTTCCTATTCAAATTTTTTAGTAAATAGACACAGTCAAGGTACATCTGTTTTGTACATGTTAATTTTCTATTGGATAACAGTGAACACTGCATTATCAATATGTGAGTACTTGAAGACTAATCCTATAGGAGAAATCTAAAAGGCGAGCCTGGTAGTTTCCTGGTCTTTAGGGAGTAATCCTTAAATGGCACACAATTGTAACATTCTTATAATACTTGATACAGTCTTATGCTTGCAAATTCCTGAGTCACATGATCTCAGATGGTTAGGAATTGAATTATTTGTAAGAGCCTCAAGAATTTAGCCTTGAGCTCTACCTGCCACAGATGGCCATAAGAATTTCATGTCACTTACTGGAATGCTGCCAGAGTAGATGAATATGTGGAAACGAGCTTTCATCTTTAGTTTGCATAGTATTCTCCAGTTCTTGGAATTATTCTGTAGCATTTTCTTTTCTGCATGCATAAATACCACGCTCTCTAAGAGTCTAAGTAAATTAAATAAATGCTTTGAGAAGTTAACTAAAAAAAATTCTAGTCAATAATGCAAGATGAGTAAGTTCTAGAGATCTGCTGTATGAAATTATGCCTATTGTAAACAATACTGTATTATACACTTAAACATTTAAGAGGGTAGATCTCATGTTAAATTCCAGCCCAAGGATTATTGCTTTTAGGACCTAAATGTATCAAAGATGATTTGGTTAGCATTTCTAATTATGAAAACAGCCCAATCATCAGTGTGCTCATAAGAATTAGTCTTACTTTCATTTTTAATTATTGGTTCTTAGTGTGTCTGTTACCGAACAGATTGGTGGCCTGTGGGGATTTACCTGCTACTAATCCCATATGTTTAGATTATTTGATGCATGTTTGCTTACAGATAATATTCTGAATGGACTTACTGTGTAGGTGTTCTTTAGTTAATATAATTTTATTTATATTAATTTACTATAGCTTTTACTTATATATAATTATACTAAAGGAGGACACAGATACAGTAAGCATGTGTGTACACAATAAGAGATACCTACACTCTTAGTGTAGGTGCTGCGTACCCTAACCCAGTGGATGAAACTTTTAAAGTGGTCACTGTCAGCACTCAATGCACATTTGAGTCACCGAGGAAGCTTTTAAAATGTATTGAGTCAGAGGCCCTAGTCGCAGAGATTCTAATATAATTGGCCTGGGATAAGAACTCCTCTGATAGTATTTTATAAAGATCTCTGGGTATATGTAACACACAGCTAATGTTGAGAATCACTGACACAGAGTAAATTTTCTCGATCCGGGGTCCACTGGCTTCTAAGGAGTTGTACTCTTGGCATTTCTGTATAGACTTTAGTGTCTGTGTGTGCATGTGAAATTTTCTGGAGAGATGATCCATAGAATCCACCAGGTTGTGAAAAGAGTATGAGTCCCCATGGTTAAAAATCATTAATGCAAGAAGAAGAAAAGTAAAAGCATAGAATTCTTCTGGACCACATACCTTTGGGAATTTGAGGAGGAAGGGGAGCCAGCTGGCTGGGCTTGAGCCCAATTATGTGTCTCATTCCTAATTGGGTGTTCTATGATGTCATGTTGGTAGGGTGAATTTGCCCGTGGTGGGAGTATTTACACCACAGAAATGGCCAATGCTACATATCAAGGCCCCCTCCCCAGGGCACACTACAGTAATCATGCAGGCCAGGTGAGGGGAAGTTGAAAGGATGCACAGGAATGTCAAGTGCTGCAGGGCTCAGCTGTAAAGAGCCCTGAGAGCTGCTGGGTTAGCAGCCTCACTCTCCCTTTTGGCTTTGGTTGCAGTTGGTCCTGGCTGGCTGCAATCGCCTGATCTCCTTGGTTCAATAAATGTTTATTGTGTGCCCTCCTCATTACCCAGTATCCATGACGATGTCTGGCAAAGTGCTGGACACAGGAGGGGAAACAGCAGAGAGAGTAGATTGGGAACAGATAGAAAAGGATCTCATATTACCCAGAGAGGAGAAGTGACTTGCTAAAAGTCACACATGTAAATGGCAGAGACAGAACTAGAACCTGGGTTCCCTAACTATGCTTGCCCACCCTATGCTTTTTTAATTATATTATTAGGAATTAGGACTTTCTAATAAGACATGGAATGAATTAGGGTAATCTCTTAGAATATCACAATGAGACTCATGCTTTTGAAAATTTATGAGTATCAACTAATGGGATAGATCTGATGGGGAAAAGGCCATGATGGAGCAGGGAGGCTGGGTAGGAGGCTGCTGTCAATCAAGTGAGAGGAGTGCTTGGGGAAAAGGTGAGCTTTTGCTGATCATGGAATAGGACTTTTATAAGACACAGAGAAAGGGAGGCTGACAGAGTGGGAGACAGAAGTGAAGTGGGCCTAGAAAGAGATAGCTTTGAAGTGGGCTGGGGTGAAGACGAGAGAAGGAAGGGACCAAGTGAGGTGATTTTGCATCAATGGCATGTCATGAAGCTCTTCAGGAAATTATCTAGCTCCCTTCTTCAGATTGATTTTGTAGGGCTGGCTGTCAGACATCCCAATCTCACCCTAACAATGCACGAGGACTTCTGAACGCATTCTATTTCTGCTGCATATTCCTCTACCTGATGGTAGTCACTGCTCTCCATAATTAGTAAGATTTAATTCAACTTGAAAAAGACTACATCTACCTTCTTAGCTAGGGCAAGTAAGTAAGTTGGGTGTTGGACCACTTGTCATGGTGACTCATATTCTGGCCATTACTATTGTCACTAGCTGGTCCCCTATTACAGAGGGGTGGGACCTGTCCAGGGAGGAAGACTTCAGATTCTGAGAAATAATTTAGGGGAAGGCAAAGGGATTTTTTTTTAAATGTGGAAGCTATTTAAATGTTTTAGTGTAATTATAAGGATATATATTTAGTAAAAGAAAATACTAAAAAAGGCGGAACATTGATATCTAATAAGTGATTTATTTTTCTTACCTCCTGCTTTAACAGAAAAATCCAACGTGAACTAATTTTTTTCCAGGTGCTTTTCAGTGGGAAGAATTGGAAGAAGATATCAGGAAGAAGTTGAAAGATTCTGGGGATGTTTCAAATGTAATTGAGAAAGTTAAATGCATTTTAAAAACACCGGGAAAGGTAAATTAATTTGTTGTAAATTAGTTTACTTTGATGCTCTCTGAATTATAACTGATATACTATGATAAATATGATAGAGTAATTAGAAGAATCAAAAATATATGAATATAAATGTTTTACGTAAGTATGTATTTTTTCCATTTTAATATTTTAAACATAAACACATGTTACTTCTCACTATCTTAGATTTTAATTTATGTAAGAATTAAAGTATGTGTGAGTCATATCTTTAACATGTTCATTTGTGCATTCCATCTTCTGAAACACTCCCCTGGAGCTCAGGGAATCCACAAACTACGTCTCTATGTCAAGAATGTAGGGCTGTTTAATCTGTCCAGCTACAGTTAGGCTTTTTGGAGGGGATGCTTCCTCAGTCTTCACAATTTAAGGCCAAATGGTTTTGGGGAGCAAGTCAGTTTCTGCATGTGCCTTTTTCAGGAATTCTGAGAAATCTGTTTAACCACATGTATAGTTACAGATTCTCTCACGAAGTATGGGTTCAAAATTATAAATTAGGTTCAAGGTCATAAAAATAGAGACTTGATATATGGCCATAAACTTGTGCACTTTAAAACTCTAGTAACTTAGATTGTACAGAGTTCGTAATGGCTTTTAGAAGGTTGTTAAGTCTCCAGACAACCACATTACACAATTTAGCCAGTGTGTTCTTAATTCAGATTCTGTGATAAACAAATTGGCTACAGTAGATTAAAAGGTAAGTTGTGTGCAATGCCTAGCAGTATAGGTTTATATTAAATTTAAGAAAAATGATCACTTCTTTAACTTTTTTGTACAGATGACTTTGTCAGTTTTACAGCGTAAGTTATTAACATTTCAAAGTTAATATTTTAAAAATGTAAAATGTACTAGCTTTAATGAATATTCCTGACTATTCTTTAATTAATAAAGTGGTCTTTTTTTTTTTTTCTTAACAAAGTAACATAGAATTAAGAGTTTTGCTTTAGTAACACATTGAAGCAGGTATACAGCCACTGTCCAGTTTTACAGGTATATGGCAGGACAGTAGCTCTCTTGCAATCTAATTCAGTTCAATAATCCTGTTGTAAAAATGTGCACATATGACAGCATTCTGTTTTTTAAAATAATTAATCTAGTTTTCTAGATTATTTATGGACAAGTAAAATGTATATTATATACATCTGTTTGCTCCAAAAATTCTGCTTTGAATTTTTTTTTCAAATTCAAAGCAGAAGTGACGAAGGAATCTGTTTATACAGATTCATACTCTGTGTGTGTATATGTATATATTTGTGCACACATAAACACACATTCATACATTTATACGTAATATACATCCCATATAATATTCAGTATACAAACTCATAATCTTTATATGAATGGTAAGAGCAGAGTGTTGCCTTTTGTTCTGAACCTGCACCTTTCCTTGGATCTGATTCTGAACACATTTCTTTGAGTACGGAGAATAAAATGAATTCATCTTGTTGGGGATGTGGAGGCTGGAGGCTATGTGATTCTGTGATATTGAACTAAATTCCCTTCTTTGCATGGAAGGAGAGAAGGGATTTTCCACTCCTTTTTCCTGTGCTTTCCTGGGATAAGGGCCTCTCTCATTCATTGAGTATGACCCAGGGATGTACACTGAATTGGGACTCAGGAAATGTAGATTTAAATTGTGGTCTGCTCCAAACTATCCCTGTGGCCTTGAACATGTCAGGGATTTCTATAAAATGAAGGATAAACTGGACGATTTCTAAAGCCCCTACTAGCTCTCCAACTTGATGATGATTTTTGGCTCTTACTCCCCTTTTTCTGTGGCAGTCTCTTGAATCCTACCTAATTCCTTCAATGTGTATTATTATGGTATATTGTGTTCAGGATCTGAAGATGTACTTTATAGGACCAGGATTTGTATAATCCTGTTTTGCTTCTCTGTCTTGCTCACGGACGCCATTCTTGAGTGAGTTTTTTCTTTCCTTGCAAAGAATAATATTGTTTTTTATTTCCTCCTCACCAAAGATTTTAAACTTCTCACCATAGTATTTTAATCCAGAGTGGGGAGCAGGTGTTATTTATTGTTACTATGGATAACGTTGTATGTTTGATTATTTCTCAGGAATAAAGTTTCCCAGCTCTCCAAGCAGAGGGTCAGAGTTCTGACCATGGCTAAAGTTCTGAGATTCAGCAGGGAAAATGGGTGGAGCCATCAGATATGAATAAAATATGATCTTCCAATAAAAATCATGACTAAATCATTCCAAATGAGGGGTTATAGTAACACAATATAGACTGTAGGCAAGATTGTAGTCCTGATGAATCCTCATATTTACAAATACTTCTTATTTCTTCATCTTTTGGGTAATTCTACCTGAGAAGGTTGTTCGGTCTTGTTTTGTTTATCTACTGTAAATAAAGGAGCGTAAATTAAAAAAGAAAGAAAGAAAAGAAATGGTGGGGAGTGAGGGAAAGGTGGCTGGCCCTTCTTCTACTTTTAGGGTTGGAACAAGGGGTGTGTGAAAAGACCACAGAAAGGATAAACAATGCTCCAAAGCCTGGGTGAGACAGAGGTGCTGTTCCTGGAGGCCGTCTGCCTGAGCAAGCACGTGTGACAGGACACAGTGTTGTCAAGGGCAGAGAGTCTCTGGAGCTCCAGACTGAAGACTCCAGGCAACTTTTTATAGATTCCACTTCTCTGCTGTGGGCAGGAAAAATATTTAGGATTATAAGATTGGAGAGTAAGATGGAGATGAACCAATTCATCAGTCTCAGGTATTTTTTAATATTCATTTCTTCAGGAGAAAATGTTAAGCTAGTAAGCAGTAGAAGGATGTGGTGTGATAAGGGAAAAATGTGTTTTTCTTAATTACAAATTATATTTTTGCCTATGTACTTTTTAAATGAACAAATCACATTGTATGTGTAATGTGTTTTACTGTGCATTTATATGAAGTTGGACTACCGTTGTCTATGTGATAAGGGAAAAATGTGTTTTTCTTAATTACAAATTATATTTTTGCCTATGTACTTTTTTAATGAACAAATTACATTGTATGTGTAATGTGTTTTATTGTGCATTTATATGAAGTTGGACTACCGTTGTCTGTTTCCCAACAAAAACTCATGGGGATTCAGGATCCTACAGTTTCTCAGCTGTAGAGTTGACTTTGTCTTTAGCTAACGTTTACTGCCGCGAATGCTGAATAGTATAGTGTTGCTCACTGACAGGACGAAGATGTAGTTCTTGAGGGCAAATTCCTTTGAAAGTGAGGCTCAGAGATGCCACAAAGTAGGTAATCATTATTTCTTTAGACATTTAGCACAGTTTTCCAAATTCTCAAACCAGCCCATATACATTATCAAAACATACTGAACAAACCTTCCCCTCATATCTGTTTTTCCTTCTAGATTAATTGCCTAAGAAACTGCAAAACCTATCAAGCCAGAAAACCTCTGTGGTTTTATAACACTTCCCTCAAGTTTTTCCTTAATAAACCCATGCTTGCTGATGTCGTCTTTGAAATACAAGGTACGGTTCAACTTTTACAAAGTTTGTTACTCATTTTTCTTTTTTGTTCTCTTTCCTCGCTTTGTATTTCAGCTTTGAATATTTGGGGTGAAGGAATGACTATTCTCAGTTGCAGGATGTAGATTAATACTACCTGAATTTCAACAAAATCTTCCAGTGAAATGAAGTACTTTATTAAAATAAAAAGAAGAATTTATATTTTCCTTAGTATTTTTACCTTTCCATATACTTGATTAACTTTTAGTGACCAGCAAGGGATCGGTGATCTGTAATATGTCATTATACGTTTTTGTTTGTGTATTTCTTTAAGATCCTAGTTTTTCATTCATCTGAAACCAGCTCCTTTAAAATTATTACCTCGAGTTTATTTTATTCAACTCTTTTCCTTCCATTTAAGCAAAAGGAACTAACCATGGGTTGAGGGTCTTGCCTGCCGACGTCAGGCACCCACAGAGATCACTACATTTATTCTTCACGGCACTCTGAGAATTGTCACCAGAGCAACTGAGAGCTGCTGCTTATCTCTAGGGGAAAGCAATGCCACCTGTTTTAGTAGAGATGAGCTGTTTTAATGTCCATTATTGATTACTCACTTGGGTAATTTTGTCACTTTAGTAGATTAGAAGAATAATGTTAAAAATGAATCTTCAGATGCCTTCAATTTACACAAGAAGGATAGGAGGAGTTGCTCCTGTAGGAATTAAGTAGAACGTTAGGTGTGCTATTATTAAGAGAAAGATGTAATTCCAATTTTATGGTAGAAATGTGTAGTGGCTAACAGTCATTTACTTTAAAAAATCTTTCCTCAGAAAGATTTAACTTTTAACTTTGGTCACTTGCCAAGACAGTGAATTGGAAACTTTCCAAAGTACCTGCTGGCAAGCTACTGTGTGCAGTGGGAGCCTGGGACACTGAAAGTGGGACAATAAGAATGACCGTGAGATATATAAAAAGAGATTGAAAAAAAAAAGAAAGCTAACCAGAGGCCACAGACTTTATGTGACCCTTTCGTCGTTTTAGAGAAACCTAAAACTAACTCTCACTAAGCCCCTGATATTATCACACCTTGATTTATTAGTTGCTAAAATAAAAATCCAAAGTGTGTATCTAAAGTCAGCTTTCATAAATTATTCATTGTAGGTAGAACAAGCCTTGTCAGAGAAAAAGCCCCTGGTGATTACAGAATTACATCATTAGCTTCTTGGAGAAAAATCTCTGTTGATGAAGACATTTACTAAAAATGCTTGGTATGTTCTGTTCATTTAAAGAAACAAATCATCTAAGCAGCTTCACATTCCAACAGAAAAGATCACATCCAATTGTTGAGCAGAAATAATGATTGCTGAATAAAACAGTAGTATTTTTATCTTGCAAAACTAATTTTTAAAAAAAAAATTCAGTTTAGAAAGATGGCACACTGCTTGTGTGTTCCAGAAGAAGGTGATTGATGCCACCAGAGATGGCTGAATGCTCTTTTCCAAATAACTTGCTGGGGACCACTATTTTTTAGCCACATCCATGTTTCAGGGTTGATTGGACTCATTCTGAGCAGACTCCAAAAGATGGGTATAAGATGGAGCAATCCCTCTCAGTGACTATGTGACAACCTAGGGCACTGCTTTTCATAACCAGAAAGAGAATTAGTAGCAGAAGGTTACATGGTGAACGTAGCAGAGTAGTTTCTAGTGCTGTTTCATCCAAGCCATGGTGAGTCCTGGTGGATGTCTTCCATGCTATAATATTCGTAGAATGTAGTGTTTGAGTTAATCAGAGCGAACATCTCTGACATTCCTGGATAATGTTCACTGTTGGTTGTATGGCCGGGCCGACCATCTCTTACCACTGGCACAGTATTGGATACAAATCAGGTACATTATAGTCAGTTTGGTACTTCCTAAGTCATGATCATGTTCTGGTCCTCTGTTTTATTTACCTAGGTCCCCTTGACTAGAGTTTTGGTTGTTCCCAAGCCCCTCAGTCATCCACTTAGAGACCAACTCTTGTGTTACTCTCCAAATGACTCATCTCCTCCTTTGTGTGTGTGTTTTAGAAGTTTAACTGTGAGGCCGGCCCATGGCTCACTTGGTAGAGTGCGGTGCTGATAACACCAAGGCCACGGGTTCGGATCCTATATAGGGATGGCCGGTTTGCTCACTGGCTGAGCATGGTGCTGACAACACCAAGCCAAGGGTTGAGATCTCCTTACCGGTCATCTTTTAAAAAAAAAAAAAAAAAAGAAGTTTACCTGTGAGAGGAAAACCATCCTGGTCTCAGGAGGAAACTTATAATTACCACTAAGACAGGATCTATGTCGTTCCATCAGTGTAACCCCTACAGTCCCGAGAACTGTGACTTGCCATTAATAAATGACTGTTGCTAATGAGAGTAATGATTCCGAACTTGGAATCAACAACTGAAGCATAAGTGCTCTTCCAGAAGACTTTGCATTGTTATAAACCTGTAAAAAGAGAGAGTCCACCTCTCTGCCAGGGATGTTAATTACGTAGCATAGTTTGAGAGTAACTTTTACCCAGTAAATTGAATATGAAGGTGTGGCCCTGTCATAGATTAATGAGTTAGGGACTGTCTCCATCTTCATCTTTTCTCTTGCTGTGCTATAACAGAGCTATCAAATTTGCTTATAATTTGCATAGCAGACATTAACATCTCCTTATAGTTAGCATAGGAGGCATGTCACCAAACATTATGTTAGTGTAACTTCCTGAAAAGGTTTTCAAAGGGAATATGCAACACCTGAAAATATATGATAGATTAGGAGAACAAGATAAGCAGTGATGTGGAGGATCCTTTCTCCGCATAAATCTTGCATTTCTTCTCTTATCCCACCTACTGATGTCTTTTGAAGGCATCTGCTCACCCCTTCCCTTATCTGTGCAGGGGCTGAGGTCAGGAAGGGCTGTTGGATGCCTGTGCTGATGATGAGCGGCAGTTGATGTGATGTTGATTGGAGCCTCCCCAGCTCAGAAACCAGGGCCTCCTGGGGAGTTGGGACAGAGAGAAGCAGGAAGGGTGGCAGCGGAATCTGGCAGTAGCTTCTTGGATATCAGCTCTAGGGGAGGCAAGCCTAGCTTCTGAAAGTTGGAGAGGGGAGCTGTAGAAGGCAGTGGTATTGCCTCTGGAGGAGGGCTGTGTCTGGGGTCTGGAGCCCTAGCTCCAGCTTTGCTTTGCATCCCAGCCAGTGTGTTCTTGCGCAAGTCACTTAACATTTCTGGCCTTCAAGTCTTCTCATTTGCAAAGCAGACAGGGTGAGCCACACAGATCCTGAAAGGTCCATTTTAGTGTTGAGAGCTGTATAACTCCCTCGTTGCCATCCTTTGATTCTGTCTGCACCTGCAGGGTAGCAGTGGGAATACTAAGGAGCAGTCCTGTGTTGGAAGATGTTGAGTAAATTCTTGCTCCTCTTGGGTTAGGCTATGTGTCCATCATCTGCTGATGGAATGGAGCATGTTTGCATTCACCTCAGGGTGGCCCCTCTGGCATCACGCTCAGTTACTAGGGCCAATTCTCTGATATACTTCTGCAATTCTTCCAGAGTGTATAGGGAGAAGTAGAAAAACCAGAGGCAATCTAAATGAGGAAGGAAGCAGAGGACTTAGAAATCACTGATCTAACTCATCCCCTTGGATGACAAATAGTTGAATGTATATTCATGAAGAAACTTTATTATTTTTTCTGTTTATGAAAGTAATTTATGATTACTATAGACCACTGTGCACAGAATGGTCCCATTTATTTTTTATTTTTATTTATTTTTTATTGAACATTGAAATTATGTGATACTGGTACTATAACTGGCATGTCAGAGGAACCATATTCATAGCCAGTAATATGCCCCAGTATATAAAAGTATTTATTTTTAAAACTTTTTCTTTATTCTTTTTTTTGTATTTGTTGAAAGATAATTGTACATATATGTGGGGTACAGCATTGAATATCAGTATCTGTGTGTAGTATAGAAAATATGTCTATTTTAGGCCGGCCCGTGGCTCACTCGGTAGAGTGCGGTGCTGATAACACCAAGGCCACGGGTTCGGATCCTATATAGGGATGGCCGGTTCGCTCACTGGCTGAGCGTGGTGCTGACAACACCAAGCCAAGGGTTGAGATCCCCTTACCGGTCATCTTTTTAAAAAAGAAAAGAAAATATGTCTATTTTGTTCATAAATTCATAAAAAGGATCTGGCAGTTTACATATCATATTGTGAACAGTGGTTATCTTTAGAAAACAAAATGTGGATAGTGGTGATTTGAAAAATGTTGTAAGTGCTTATTGTAGGATAGTCAGATAATATATAATGATGAAAAAATCACCCACAATCCCCAGTGACAGTCACTGTTTGGTTTTGACATATTTCCCTCTGGTCACTTTTCCTCTGCCTAAAAAAGGGGCAGGGGTTAGGTAATGCATACTGTTTATCCAATTGTATATCTTTTATTTTTGAACTTGTGTCATAAGCATTTTACATGGTATTAAAAATCTCTTAACATTTTTACTGTCATTTGACTGTTATATTCTTTTTTTTTTTTACTACAGGTGTAAATTTAGGTATTTCCTACATTTTCACTATTAGAAATAATAATTGCATTGAAGATTTAATATAAATATCTCACTCTGAAATTAGGATTACTTCCTTGGGATAGATTTTAGTCATAGGATATGAACATCCATAAGACTCCATGTATGCTATTAATTGTATATATCCAGAAAGATTGTACCAATTTATATTCTCATTGGTAGTGAATGACAGTGATTGTTTTAGTATATCTTCATCAGCATTAAGTACAATTGCCTCTTAATTTTTCTTGCAAATTTGATATGACCGTGTATTTTTAATATTCTAATCTAGAATCAAGATGCCCAGATTATACAAATCAAAAGCCAAATCTGTTCTGATACATTGGACCTTTTAGTATTGAGACATTTTTATAATAATTATTAATATATACTATAATATAATTATAGTATAATACAGTAGCAC